CTTTTGTGTTCCCTTTCTTTCCTCCCTAGTCAGTCCTGTCTTTGTGTGTTTATTCTCCTGTTGCTCTGTCAAGTTTGTCAAGTTTGTTATTTCCTGTTTTATTTTGATAGTCTTCTGTTTCATGTGTATTATTTTCAGTTTTGCTTCCCCTGTCTCATCACTCAGATTAGTGACAGCTGTGTTCCCGCCTGTGGCCCGTCTCCCTGGTTATCCTCCTTGGCTGTGTCCCAATTCAGAGACCGCATGCATGGAGTACGCATTTTGAGACCTATTACGTCACCGCGACGCGACGACGGCTGTCCCAATTCGAAGTGCACTCCAAATGTGCCGTCGATTTCCCCAAATATCAAGCGTGGTCCGGTGCACGCTTCGTGGTCCCATATATCACAATTCATAGCGCGGCGGTGGGTGTGGATAGTTTTGCCGACAGATGGAGAGAATAGACAGACTGTTCTCTGTTTGTGAAGGACTGCTAGAAAAGTGTAAAATAACTAATTGTCTGTCCTGAATCAGTCTTATAACGTAATATTCAAATAATTTTATCATTCCAGTGTTTTCAGTGTGGGAGAAAGTACTCAGGGCCTTCAAGTTAAACACTATGAAAGGCAGCAACAAGTTTAATATTCAGAAACCTAAAGTATGTATCAGCAGCAGATTGGACCTAAAAATAAATGTTTGTTTCAGTTCTATGAAGCTTTGAGTATTTTGGATTAGTAGTACTGCTGTGTTTGTTGCATCATATTGCTGTAATTGTTTATATGCTTTATATATTCTGAGGTAAGTTGATCTATAGTGTTACATCATATTCTATAAGGATGTTATGTGTTTGTAGACTTTCTGCCCAGTTTGACCCATTTAGCAGAAGTCAGCGTGTTTAAGGCTCTGATATCTATTCTGTATGACTTACAGCAGTTATGACATGGTCTGATTTTCTCACCCAATAAAGGAATATTTAATATATCAGTCTACTCTTCATTCTATCAGACACAGTTATCACAGCTCGTACATTTTCTTTTTACACATATATGTAAGCATTGAGCCAAATGTAATAATGCCAACATATTAAACGAACAATATTTGTCTCTTATATATAATACATCTATATATACACTGTCAGAGATACTTGTCTTTGAGTGAAGATTTAAGGTGATAGGAAATATAAATAAATGCAACTTGAATCTTTGACACAGAGTTCAAGCTCACTGCTGTAATATATCCTGTAATATATATATATATCATAATAATCTGACAATAAATATAATATTGGCCATATTATATTTACATTACCACAGTGAGATGATTGTAGTCTCATGAACAACATTAGCTAATTGTTATTTACTAACTAATCTTGAAATGACTGTTTAGTACAGAAATGAAGCCCAACAATCAGGTTTTACAGTCCTGTGGTCTCAGCCTCAGATACTCAACTGATCAAAGTGATGTCATGAAAAAAATTAATGACCAAAAAAACATTTTTTTTCTCCTTCATTTCTGTCAAACAATGCTGTATGAAACGTTTCTCGCGGTTAGTATCATGGTTGCGAGGCAACCTGAGCAGCACGACGAAGGCTAGACCGCACCATTTCACAAGCCTCTCACTTCCGCACTTCCCGTACTTATAGTACAGACCGTACGTAGTATGCGTACTGCACGTACTCCAAGCGTGCGGTCTCTTAATTGGGACACAGCACTTGTGTATATATTCCCTGTGTTCTCCTCCGTTCCACGTTGTGGTGGCTGTCTCCATTCTCCAGATTAATGTCTACTGTAATTCCAGCAATAAAGCTGTGTTTCTGAGTTTAGTTCCACCTGGGAGTGCTGCATTTTGGGTCCTACCTGCTTCAGACAGCATTTTAATGACATCAACCAAACATAAGAAGACCATCACCAGAAACAGATGTTTGTGCTGAACATTATCAGTGTAACTGCTGGTTCTTACATGGCGTTTCTCTACTTGAGCACTTTATATTAACATGCTTCATTAACCCATTCACATCAGCACTTTTTTTCTATAACTGAGTACTTTCATTAACATGCATACACTGGAAAGTAACTTGTGGTTTAGTGTCTTGCCCAAGGATGCTTTGGCATGCAGACTGTAACAGCCAGAGAACCACCAACCTTCCTTCTGACCTACATCCACCCCATCCATCCATTCGCTTCCGCTTATCCTTTTCAGGGTCGCGGGGGTGCTGGAGCCTATCCCAGCCCCGTTTAGGCATTTAAGACACATTTGCATCTTTTAAAAGCTCTCATCCCACATAATCTGTAGAGGTGCCAAAATTAAAGTGATTCTTAAAAATATGGTGTATACATGAATGATAATATTGTAAAACTGTTCTTTTTGTTTTCTTTGTTTTTAATATATCAACAGCTCTAAGCTCCACTAAAAGTTAACATGTATAAATCTTTTAACTCTCAAAATCCAATAAATTGCTGTGTTGTTGTTGTGCTCCTGTCTTCCTTCCCTCTTCCCAACTGGTCAAGGCAGATGCCCGCCCCTCCCTGAGCCCGATTCTGCTGGAGGTTTCTTCCTGTTAAAGGCGACTTTTTTTCCTTCCTGCAGTCGCCAAAGTGCTTGCTCATAGGGGGTCATGTGATTGTTGGGTTTTTCTCTGTATGTATTATTGTAGGGTCTATCTTACAATATAAAGCACATTGAAGCCAATGTTGTTGTGATTTGGTGCTGAATAAATAAAATTGAATTATAATCTGAAAGGAATGAGAACAGGATGGATGGATAGATAGATGTTTTCTACTGTTTTATATTTCATGTAGTTCTGTCAAACAGCACAGTTTTTCTAACTTTAGCTTCAGTGCAATAACTGTGTGTCTGTTGTGGTGAGGTATAAAAATATCTTACTTTTCAGGTACATGCGGGTAAATGTGGTCACTATGGGCAGCAGAGGGAGCAGAATCCAGCGAATTAAACTCCAGATATATGAAGCAGTAGCTGCAGGGGGTTTCAGAAAAAGCATGTGGTTTGTATACATGTTGTGAAGCCCATGAGCACTATAATG